ACAAAGGTGTTTTAAAGAGAAGTAAAAACGCAATGCTCAAATAGTGTTATATAAGGGCAATCATTTGCAAATGTAACATGAATATGTGTTAGACTTAGTGTTGTGGTTTAAGTTACCTGGTAAGTATGATTAGGCAGCAATAATATTATGAACTGTAAGCCAATAATCATCGAGCATAAAGATGTAAAAATAAAAAAAAAGTAGGTTATTTGGCTATAATAGTATGTCCTCGTTGATACGATATAGTTGGGAGAAGAATATTTGAGTTATCAAAGGAGACGGGTAAACATGACGGGCGATAAGCCTATAATAGCACAACAAACATGAAGGTGAAAAAATAAATTTCAATTATATCAAAGTTTCTTTATATTTCCTATAAAATTAAAGTATACTTTATGTAAAATCTCTAAAACTTAATAAATTTTATGCAGATTAAAGTTATTTGCTATGCAATAATAAACACACAAAAAGGGCGCAACAAGTCATTTTTTTCACACTATCAAGACTTACCGGTATTTTTTTTAGACATGAGTGGGTCTTCGCTCCATTATCATTATTGAAAATTAATCCTCAAAGTTTGTATACAAATTTTTGTCTCCCAAAATATAGAGCAAAGACCATCTATATCTTAAAATATAATTTTATTATCCAACTTTCGTACCCTGGTTAGAGCGTCTGCTCTAGAGTCGCGGAGTAAGGAGTCAATCCATATGTCAAGGGTTTGAATTTCACTGTGGGACGTGGAGACCAATTCTTCGGATAAGACCGTATAAACCGAGGTCCAGTGTCGCAGTAGGTGCTGGCACGAAAAAGATCCCTTCCTGCTTCATGGCCCTTAGTTACGAGTATAGGACAAAATTTGCATACAAGAAAACTACACTTAGATCATCGTCGGAAATTCACGAGTGATAAGTAAAGACGAGAACACCCTTGGATTTTTGAAAATGCACTTAGAAAAACAATTCAATATATAGGTTTTTGATTTCGATGAGCGATGTTGCGTTGGTTACTAAGATTAGAAATTTCTGAGAAATACATTGAAAAAGGTTAACTTTTCTATGATGTTTTGAAGGTCTGTGTTTGCTGTGCTCCTATTTTGGATTGTTTTATGGATTTTGAATTAAGTTCGTTATCTCGATATGTTTCATACATTCAAAATGCTACTCGTACAGTTTTGTCTGATTTCAATACAACTTAGCACACACGTAAACTACACTAAGATACATAATTCTATTTAACCTTGGTTTATGTTATATGTTAGGAATGCTACTGATTTATTATATATTTGGTATATATAAATACAATACTGTATTAACTTAGATAAGAGTAGATGTTAAGTGTGGTATAGTTCTGCTGCATAAAGCTAAAATTTTTCATTTATTTTTTTTTTTAAAAATGGCATAGTGTAAATAATGGATTGTCAGTCTATCTAATATGTGTCAGCTGTTTTCTGTCCGTCTTGAATCTGTACCTCATTGTAACGCATATTGTAATTCTTCACCCTCTTAGAGGAGCAATAAATAATTTGGTCACACCCGAGTTTGTAATTGCCTATTGCCCTAAAGAGACTAAAATGAAGGATCATTGTTAAGTTTATGCTGATGCATACCTGTCAATATTCCAAGTATTTGCACGGGGGGAGGGGGGGGGGGGGGGCGACGACTTTTTAGTAACTTAAAAGTCATCGCTTTACCTCATTGTTCATACTAATAAAATAATAATGAATGACGGAATTTAATGTTCTTTATTATAATTGTAAGCTGCTTATTCAGTTTTAGAGTGTTCTTTGAAGGTTTCACTTGATTACATTCTTCTTGACAGTTAATTTTGGCACACAGAATATTGCATAGGGCCTGACTGTCAATGGAAGCTGTCTGTTCTGTTTGATTTCATCTCACAAGGGAGAACACCCTCTACATTGCTGTTGTAATACAGTACATTGATTAAGCAAGGCTACAAAGAAGTGGGAAGCTTGGTGTTTCCGTTACCTTGTCGGCGATTTCCCCATCTCTCCTCAGTATGAGTCTATTCTTGTCTGTCCCTTCACAAAGTTTGGAAGCTCACAGTCTGGAGAAACCTGAACTCTCTTCCAACTATGGGAAGTCATTTTCCTGAATTATGGCAGGAAATCTTCTGGCAATCTCCACTGTATACTGTATGGTGGCGTCCTTTCTTCTGTGTGAATTCAAGAATCCCAAATTGTTGACAACTGGGTCCTTGAATTGATGCTTGATATTTTTTTGTTACGGCACAATAGACCCCCCCCTTTCATTCTTAGAATTAGACAAAAACAAACGTTTAAATTTGTATATAGTATATTTAATACATGTACAACATTCCTTAACATATGAACAGCACCGCTTGTCACAACTTTTCAGGTATTTTATTGGTAACTTATTTATTTACTTTCTTCATTTAAACTGATCTAAGTACTGTCAACTTAAAAATTTTCAGGGTCTAAATCTAAACTTTGTGGAAAAATTGCCAAATCTACTGGTTCAATATCGTCATCATTCTCCGCATGTTACCGTGTAGTTGGTATTCTGCATTTTTAAAGTCTACACTAAGGAGGTCCTTAGAGTTCTTGATTATTCCTGCCTATACAAAACGACCAAGGAATTTTCTCAAAGATATCCAATCCTTGATTCATCGGCCTACAAAAAGTAGAGGTAGAAGAAGAATTCAGTGCTCAAATAAGTATACAGTTCTTTAATTTTGTGGTTTATAATTTAAAAATTATCAATATATTAAGATTACGACTTGCATACCTGAAATATAGTGCTAAACTCATTCAATGGCTCCAACACAAAAAGTGGAATGTCATCCTCTTTTCATGGCAACTAAGTTAAAGATATGTGGATGCATTTCGTTCATAGTTGTCATCGCTGAATTCTTCTTGCCCGTCATAACAATGCAGTTATGAGAGGAGAAAGCAATCAAGCTTTCCCATGGAATGTTGTTTTTAAAACAATACTTTAATTTAGAAAATTCCGTTATCAATTCTTTAACTGTTAAAATAAAGAGATATTTAATAAATACTATTTACACCTGACTTAAATAAAAACTTGTTTAAGGTGGTGAAATATATTCTGGGAAGTTCCAAGGTATGTCCAATGATTGAGTTACTGCCTGATTGTCCACGTATCGGACAAGTATGGCCAGGGTTTTCTCAAGAGTTTCTATCACTGCTTTCATCAAAGGCTAAGGTAAATGGTTTTGTCCTGCATTCATGAAATACTTCTTTGTGAAGCTGAGGAGCAAGGGCGTTCTTGACAATCATGGTAGTCATTGTGCGGCCACAGGCAAATTTTCTAGCAATCTAGCTGTCATGAAACATTGGCTTGCAGAGCTTGCTGAAATGGTCTGCAACAGCAAATGGGAAGTTGTGCTCTGCAAAAAACCATGTGAAGATAAAAATTAAAAATAATGCTTTCACCAATTCTGAAATAGATTTTTTAGTACAAGGTTATTTTTTTGTACTCGAAAAAAATAAATAAAATTAAATAAGCATGTGATTATGTATTGTTTTTTCCATGCTAAAAGACTGAAACTCATTTAACTGCATTCTCGCTCATGACATTGTGCCCATTACATTTATGAAGGATATGGAGATAACGAACGGTGTTCAGTTTTAAAAGTCCATAAAATACAAAATAGGAGCAGAGCAAATACGGACCACAAAAACGGGCCTTAGAGCAGGAATGGATCTTTTACGTGCAAGCACCTACTGCGACGCGGGACCTCGGTTTATGCGGTTTCACCCGAAGGACCGGTCTCAACGTCCCACGATGGGATTCGAACCCATGACATAAGGACCAACTCGTTACTTCGCGACTCGAGAGCAGACGCTGTAACCTCACTTTTCATGTTATCTTTCTTCCATTCTGGTCTTAGATCCTGATTTAGGGTACATATCATTCTGTTTCACACACTTAAGTTTAAAGAACATTCATTCTTTGAATAGATAATAAGAAAACACTACTGAACTTTGATAATTCAACGAACTCTCTGAGAAATTATCAAAAAAATAAAATTACGATTTTTCATCTCATCTTCTTAAATATGCACATCATAATACATGTGTAACATTTTCATAAAGTTACAATAAAGTTTCAGCAATCCTTAATTTTAATTCTCAATTTACTGAAGATATTCACCTATGTACATTCATTCAATAAATACAACTAAAAACACCACTTCCAACTAGAAACGTCTAAAAAAAATTGTTTAGGCATCATGATCCCCCCTGCCTTACTTTTAAACTCGGTTTGTCGTTGCGTAATATTCATGAAACGTTTCCTCCTGGTGCTCCTATTCTGAACGGTTCTTGTGTCGCTTTGTTGCTGTTTTCCTGTCTTTAAAGACGTCGTCCGCGTGGCGCAGTGGTTAGAGCGTCTGCTCTAGAGTCGCGAAGTAAGGAGACAATTCATACGTCGCGGGATCGAATCCCACCACATGTGGGACGTGGAGACCGGTCCTTAGCATGAGACCGTTTAAACCGAGGTCCGGAGTCGCAGTAAGTGCTGGCACGAAAAAGATCCCTTCCAGCTTAACGGCCCTGAGTGCCGAGCATAGGAAAAAATTTGCAGCCTCCACAGGGAAGTGGTGCAGCCTCCATACGAGTGAAAAATTCTCGAGAGGGGCATTAAACAATATGCAATCGATCAATAATCAAAAGTGGCACGTTAATTTTTAGCCGGGCTTATTGCTCAAAGAGCAATAGCCGGCTTATGGGATCCTGTTCAATGCAGGATGTTGACCCAATAGTCGCCAAATTAAACTGACGTTGTGAAATATAGTGTATCTACTTGTAATCGCTGTTGAAACAATTTATACTCATAATCTGATTAATTAAATGTGAATATAAACTGTACTGTAATTATTATTGTGCAGTTATCAAAAATACATTTGTTCTTAGTAGAGAACTTTGAACAAATTCCTACGCATAGCCTGGTTTCCTGTCCCTGTCTTGCTTCGTTTACGCTGCGTCACTGCCTCGGCAAGGATGAGACAGGGTACCGGGCTAAATTTTCCACTCGTTCGGCAAACCGAATCAGCCGAGGAGTACCGAATGATGCAGGTATGGCGTTGTCCATTCTATATTGGTCAAATTATAACGTTACAGCTGGTACAACGAAACTTATGCGGAAATCGGAGACTGCCGTACAATCTGACCACGTTTTAAAGTTTGTGTATGACAAAGATGCGCAGTTTATAAGGGGAATTGTCCAAGCCTCCATGCGAGACCGGAGCTACCAGGTTACTGTAAGTTCATCCCATTTCTTTGAGATTTTTGGAAGAAAGAAAAGTTTTTTTTTTAAGTCTTTTGTGTAAATCACGAAATAATGCATAATGTACAACACGTTTGGAAGTATATATGTTTTATCCTGCCTATGCAATAAATCCAGAACAAACCTCTTTCCTAATTTCCTTGACTGAAAGCGTCTATGCAATGTCTTAATACATAATAATAAATTAATATACTATTTTTTTTCTCTCTCTCCACAATTTTCAAGTTTCCATGTAAACATGCTTTTTACTTTTAAAATTGATTGTAATATAATTAAAATTCTAGGTGGTTATTTATTTTTTTTTATTTTATTAGATTACTCTTGGTTCTAGCTACACAGTTGAACAGAGTACCTGTGTGTTAATGGGATGGATAAATGTCACCATAAAGCCAGCATTCTTCTCTATGGGTAATTTATATGCAATTTATGTAATATGTAAATTCACTTGGTCTGTTATAGGTATGCTTTACCAAATTTAATGTTAAATAGAAATTATATCAAAACATGCACACCAATATATATACCCGGTATATACAAGTGTGCAGTGCACCATGTGACTGTAGGTAGCAGGGTACTATTCGTGCCCTGGAACCTCCAAGTCCACTACCTTGGCATATATAAGCATACTTGTAACTATAAAATCTAACTTTAGGCCCCAAGACTATAATATAACTTAGTAAATTTATGGAACATGTTGATACAGGTACAAAAATGTCAGCAAAACTGATGTACGCCAGAGTTGGATTAAGCATCCAAAGAGTGCGCCACCTTGTCAAACTAAGACGATGGAAGAACTTTTTCCTGCACCTGACAGGTTTATAAATTACAGGTATGCATTTATTATGACTGTTTCATGAATGGTGCAAAATATTAAAAAATGACAGTACCCCAAAAGTGAAAATATAAAAAATAGAGAAATAGCACATTTTTTATGGGCAATATACACTTTTTTCAATGGATGGAACTGTATCTCTCTGGTCGTCCATCCTAATTTTTTCAGACCAGCAAGCTACAGATCTGCAGCTAGCATGGTATATGTAAAACCATTCAGTGTTGTATTATGCTCCATTTTTCAACTTTTGTCAAAAATTACTAGGGCAACAAATAGGCCAGTCAATGATAGGGACAGGAAGTTCCTATATCAGAAATTGACAACTGTACGGAGATTTTCAGGTTAATATATCTGGTGTTTTATTTTAGGGTCACATTGTTTACGAGTTTATTTTATTGTTACTTTTTTGAAAATTTATACTGTGAGAGGATAGAATGCATATACACACATGTATATATATTTATAAATTCACAAAACACCTAACTAACTCATTACACCCGGACTTTGGAGTTCAGATATTTAATGGCGTATTTGACATTGGACTGAAATTCTGACAAGATGTGCAGTCTTTCCATTCTTTTTGCTTTTTTTGTCTTTTACGTGTTTAGTTTTGTTCTTGTCTCTTTTGTTTTTGTGTTGACTTTGTTTTAAACTTTTAATTATACATTTATACTATCAATTTCAATTCAGTGTGAAGTTTTGCATCACGTCACAATCTTTTTTGACAGATGCATTCAGCGTAATCAATTCATGTGATTGATTAACTCATATTATCAACCTTGACACAGAAATAGTTTGTTGTACAAGCAAACAATCAGGGATTAGAAGAAAGTTCCAGTCGTAAAGCTTGCGGTTAGGAGGCGTATACTATTTACCTTGAATGCATCTGTCAAACTAGAAGATCGTGACGTAACATAAAACTTCAACTCAACTGCAACCTTTAGTAAAATGTTTAAATATTACTCACCCTATTTCTCATATACTTAAAGGAAGTTATTTGTACATTCTTTTCACATGTATACATATTGAAATCCAAAATTTATTTGAAGTAGTGAATAAAATAAGTTTGAAAAAATATTTAACATACCAGTATTAAGAATTGGTGATGTAACTGCAATACAGGTTTATTGAGTATTTGTTGTCTTTTTCACTGAGGGTTTAATTTTTTTTAAATTAAATCAACAGCAATGCATTGGATACTATCCCCCGAGCCGCCTGTGCCCACACTTGCAGTGCCTCTAGTTGAAGACCTCATCTCTAGCCAGGAATTTATTTCTGCAGAGAATCCAATCGCTTGGATGAAGCAAAAATTAATGATAAATGAGCAAGAAAATCCAACAGGTAAAGACAAATGAGTTGCATAATGAATAGAATGTATTCTGTTTTATTATGAATGTTGTTTAAGTTTTAAGATTTTTGTCATGTTTTAGTTTGCCTGTCTTACCACTGGTCAAAAGGAAAATTGCATGTGGTCATCTGTTAGGAAGAATAGATTAACAGCTTCAAACTTTGGTTGTGTTTTGGCAGCGATCAAGAGAAATAGGTATACTGGTAGTTTACATGCCTTTATATGTATATGTAATTATGTTCCCCAAACGAAGTTGGGGAACATATTGTTTTTACTCTGTTTTTTATTATTATTAAGGTCTTCCGTCTTCAGCGGAAGACCTTCTTGTTATTCTTAGGTTTCTTTTTCACTTTTATTAAGGTCTTCCGTCTTCAGCGGAAGACCTTCTTGTTATTCTTAGGTTTCTTTTCCACTTTTATTATTCTTTTTTTTCTTACCGATTTTGTGCACGCGATTTCTCAAAAACGGCTCGATGGATTTCCATGAAACTTTCAGGACTTATGTTACATTACTTGAACCTTATGCATTTTTTTCCGATTTGATGACGTCACTTCCGGTTTGGAGATATTGTCAATTTTATGATTTTTGAAGGGTCTGGTTGTCCGCAGACTTTCTCAATAATGGCTCAAGATAGAAACATGAAACTTTCAGATATTATAGACCAAAGTCTGTAGATATGTATAACGTATTTCATTTTTATCAGAAGTGCCGCACGTCGGCGCTCGCTATGGCCCGAAAATAGACGTATCACGAATTTCAAAGTTTTTAACACTTTTTCGAAGATATCTTTTTACCTAAAAATATTTTGTTAAGACATATAGAACAAAAGAAGTGTAGAATTGCATGATCTTTCAAATGATATCCAAGAAAAAGGGCTGGCCCCTAAAATAAAGGATCCAGAGGGGCCATAACGTTTTCTCTGATATCTCAAAAAGTGTTGACAATTTGTTATGCATCATAGAAGGAAAGTTGTTCAAAATAATAAATAGCAGAGGCAGAGATCATTTAAAGTCGTTAAAATACCGCCACTTCCGGTCAGGCCGGAAGTATTTGTAAATGGCTCGTTTTTTGCACACATAACCGTAAATGTCTATCAATCTCGATATCATCGTATTCAGAATTAGACGGAAGACTTATTTGTTGCTTTGCAACAAGCTCGTCTAGTTATTATTATTGTTTTTTTTTCTTACCGATTTTGTGCACGCGATTTCTCGAAAACGGCTCGATGGATTTCCATGAAACTTTCAGGACTTATGTAACATCACTTGAACCTTATGCGTTTTTTTCTGTCTTGATGACGTCACTTCCGGTCCGGAGTTATTAGCACAAAATTGATTTTTTAAGGGCCAGTTTGTCCGCACGATTTCTCCTAAACGACTTTAGATAGACACGTGATACTTTCAGGTCTAGTAGACCTATGTCTGTAGATTTGTGAAATGTATTTTATTTTTACCGGAAGTGCTGCACGTCGGCGCTCGGTATGGCCCAAAAATAGGCCTATCGCGAATTTCAAAATTTTTAGCACTTTTTCTACGATATCTTTTTACCTGGAAATATTTTGTTAAAATATATAGAACAAAAGAAGTGTAGAATTTTAAGTTCTTCCAAATGATATCTCGGAAAAAGGGCTGGCCCCTAAAATTAGGGGTCTACAGGGGCCGAAAGTTTTTCCTTTATATCTCAAAAAGTATTGAGAATTTGTAACACGTCCATGAAGCAAAGTTGTTCAAAATGTCAAGCTTAATCTAATGGAGTCGTCAAAATACGTCCGTCGACGTCATTTCCGGCCAAACCGGAAGTAGTCGAAAAACGCGTATTTTTACCGTTCTTGAAAAGTTTTTGGGTAACATCTGTCACTGGGAGCATAAAAATTAATTTTATGTCCGTCGTCAACACTTCCAGTCACACGGGAAGTAGCATAAACTTCCGGTCAAACAGGACGGAAGACCTACTCGTTGCTTTGCAACGAGCTTTGCTCTATTTAAGGTCTTCCGTCTTCACGGAAGACCTTATAGCGATTCTATTGTTTCTTATTATTATTATTATTATTATTCTTTTTTTTTAGACAAAATTTTGTGCAGGCGATTTCTCGTAAACTATTTGGTGGATTTCATTGAAAATTTCAGGAATTATAGGTCATTATATGAATTTTATATAAAATTCCGTTTGTTGGAAAATTCGGTACCAGTGCCAAGTTATGGGCAATTTCCTGATTTTAAAATGCAATTTTGTCTTCGAGTGTTCTCGAAAACGGCTAAAGATATTAACTGGAGACTTGTTAGAGATGATAGACCATGAGTTATAGATGTGCAATTTTGACTTCGTTTGCGTCGTAAGTACTTCCGGTCGCTACAGGAAGTGAATTCAAAATGTACACTTTTTCAACTTTTTTTGTTTTTCAATATTTTTCTTTGATATAATTAATGGTAATAAAGACCCTACTGGAAAGGCCAAATATATAATTTATCTATGAATTGATCAATCCACACACTAGATATTCGCATTTGAAAATCTGAAGCGTGTCCAAGATGGCGGCGGTCTCGGTAAACTCCGCCATTAAGCAAGTCGGGTTCTAGAAGGTCAGCTGAGCGTTTAGATGAAGGAAACTTCTACCAAAAAGATTTATGAAATGTAAAGGATTCTTTTGATTGCTACATCGCAATTACGTTGCATTGAGTATACTTTTAACATGAGGTTTCCTCAAACTTCTATTGAAATCGCTTTTGTCTGCATCTCAAAGTTAGAATACAACTTGACTACAAGTGGAAATACGATGACTTCAGTCTTTTATTTTGCACCAGGGAAAACTTATCCTAAACCATGGTTATAATACTTTTCAAGAAACTTGCCTGACTTAATATAAACTATGTTTCTGAAGTATGACTTGACTTCTGTTTATTTTTCTTTACGCAGGCTTGTGATATATTAAATGAATAGAAAAGACAAAAATAAGAAAAACATTTTTAAAAGATTGTTTATTAAAGGTTATATGAATATTCTTGTAATAAATGCAAGTTATTGACATAAATAGTATCAGATTCCTTGACCGTCGGAGGACGAGTGATTTTTTTTAGCGAAACATTCCAGTCTTTTCATGGACGTGTAACTCATCTCCACTTTGGGGGTAAACAGGATACAAAATTCGTGGAAAATCTTACCGAATTCACAGCTTTATTGTTACTTGGCCGTATACGAAATCATATTTGTATAATGTGATAAATATTCTCGTACTTTCTAACGCTCGAAATTCTGGTTATAAGAACACACATTTCTAATTTCCATTGAAGCTATCACATCTATTAAATAAATCAAACATTTCAAAGGAATAGCGTTAAGAACTACTTGTGACGTTTGGCACGAAATAATGCATCATGACCCGACTTAGTAGTAGACAAATGGCGACAATAGTGCAGAAATATATAACATTGGCATGTCTGTATATGGAGTTGCATGGGATAAAAAGTTGAATACATATCGAAAAAAGGAAAGAAAACTGTATCATCTGTTCATCATTAATAGATTATCTATCCTAAAAATTACTGTTAAAACTCAAGCAACAAATTCCGATGTGATCATCTTGATCAAAGTTTGGCAAGCTAGCTCTCGTGTTATAATTCCAAACTGAATTTTAAAAAAATGTAATGTATGTTGGAATAAGAAAACAATCTCGCGATATTCGAATGTTAATTTTAAGCGGGTTCCCAAAGGTGTAATGGGTACCGCAATGGATTTTCACGCTGGCAACCCGGGTTCAATCCCCCATGTTTCCGATTTTTAAAGTCACTTTTTCAGTTTGATTTTACTTTTTTTCTGAATCGGACGGAACGGAAGACCTCTCGTTGCTCGCAACGAGTTTCTTTTCTAGTTATTCTTATTTTTCTTCCTGGGAAAATTTTGTCCGCGAGTGATCTTGTAAACTACACATCAGACTACGGTGAAATGTTTTTAGGGTCAGTAGACATGTAATGTAGATTTGCGGAACGAAGGTCATTTTGCGCGCACGTGCTTGCAAGAGCGCGCACGTGCAACATGATAAATGACCGATTACATTGATATAGATGTAACTTTTTAAATTTTTTGATGAAATGCTTTAGAACTCATAAGATAAGGATACATTAGAAGTATAGACAATATGACATGGTCAAAATAGCAAGATCTCACGCGCATGCACGTGCGCTGCACTCTGATTGGCTGAAACAAAAATCTCAATATCTTTTTTGTCTTTTGACGAAGTGCTTTGAAATTTTGATTATAGCCATGCATTAGGATATCCTACAATATGATATATAGCAATTATCATGAAAACACGTGCATGCACGTGCGCTGCAATCTGATTGGCTTAAACTTTAAATAGCTATAACTCATTTGGATTTCAACCAAAGACGATGGGATTTGAAATATATATAGATATTATGAACTACTACAAGAAGGTATGGTCACCATGCACATGGATACACGTGCATGTACGTGCGCTGCAATCTGATTGGCTTAAACTTTAAATAGCTATAACTCATTTGGATTTCAACCAAAGACGACGGGATTTGAAATATAAATAGATATTATGAACTACTACAAGAAGGTATGGTCACCATGCACATGGATACACGTGCATGTACGTGCGGTGCAATCTGATTGGCTGAAACTTTAAACAGCTATAACTCCCTTGGTTTCCAACGAAACAGGATGGGATTTGGAACATAGATAGATATAATGGACTACTACAAGAAAGGTGTGGTCACCATGCACGTGCGTGTACGTGCGCTGCAATCTAATTGGCTGAAACTTTTAACAGGTATAACGCCCTTGGTTTTCAACCATATGAGGTGGGATTTAGAACATAGATAGATGTAATGATCTTCTACAAGAAGGTATGGTCACCGTGCTCATGTATGCACGTGCGTGCACGTGAAATGAATAAAATCAAAAATACACTTGAATGAGCGTATTTTTATTACATTTGGATTAAATACTTTAATTTTTAGTTTATTAAAATATATGGATTGTGTAGACAAAATGATATGGTCATTACGCACAGGCATTCGCATGCGCACGCATGCAATGCTAAAATTTGAATGAACTTCGTACACTTCCAGGTAAATGTTAAAGTCTCAAAAACATAGAGTTTGTCTTATTTAATGAAGCTTACAGGTAATATGGCACAAAAAGAGAGTTGGGGAGCGTTTGGGGAACATCTGTAATGGTCCCCGTTACAATTAGCACTAGTTATAAATGATACTTGTAAAAGCAGTTAATTATAAAATCAAAAATATTGAAAGTTTGCTCCTTATATAACAGATATCCTGTCTCCTTATACAAAAGATTATGCTCAGCTTATGATCTGTCAAAGAAGGATGCCATTATTTGGGGGACGTGCAATGAAAAAGTCGCAATTGAAAAGTATAGAACTTTTGGGGATGCAATTGTAGAGCCAACAGGTTGGTATATTTCTTTCCTAAGCAAAATTTCAATTTCTTTAAAGCAAATAAAAATTGATGATAAATAAAAAATTTTCATGAGCTAATTCATTTAAAATTCAGTTATTTAACTGAAGTTGAAGATAATGAATATATATATACTATTTTTATGTTCTATTTATAACAAGTCATCAATGCATAAGAAAATCAGAGTGTTGCATATTAATGCTATTTTGTAACTTTATAATACTGTTCATATTAGGTATCTGGCTACACTGTAATGGGGTTCTTGGGTCAAGCCCCGATGGACTCATTCGTCGTCCTGCTGCATTCGGATTCAGCTATCAGAATCCAGGACTCGCTGACATATTAGAGATGTCAAACGTTAAGCCAGAAATACTGGAGGTGAACAGAAGCTATTGAAAAAGTACATGATTACTGCCTAGGTAATAATAGTGTATATGTATTTGTTTGAATATGTTTTATGTACTGAGATATTACTTTAAATAATTCCAATATATTAGTTTGGATAAATTTAATTTCAATTTAGCAATTGTTAAAAAAGTTTTTTCCTTCTGTTGTAATGTTAGTCCTCAAGGCAGATGATTTGCCTTCTCACTTTAGTGTACAGTAAGGAACAAAATACTTATACAAGTAAATATTTATTAGTTAAATAGTTTTGTCTTATATTAATGATTGAGGCACCAATGAAAATTCTAATTCTTTAAAAATCTTCAACATATATATTTTTTTCATATAGAGGTTCAGGATTTTAATGGAGTCAAGTCCTTCAAGCTTCGAGAGAACCACCAATACTATGATCAAGTGCAAGGACAGCTTCATATAACTGGGAAATCCTTGTGTGATTTTATGGTCTGGACACCAAAAGACTGTGCGATTGTGAGAATTAACAAAGACATCAATTGGGAGATCAACATATCTGTTTTGACGGACTTTTATTTCTGTAAATTTCTCCCGTGTTTACAACAGCTATAAGATATAACATTAAACATGGTGAAAACATTTTAATTTTAATATCTTAGTTATCTACACTTGCAAAATTCTGAGCAATTTCCTGCATAAGGGGATCCTGAAAATTGACTAAAACACAGCATAATTGAAAGACTTTTGTAGAAATATATCTAAATTGCTGCGGAACATGCCTTAAAATTTCATAATTCTTCATACGCTCATTTGCTCTTTCAACATGTATGTGTGACTTAGCAATTCTTCGACATAGTTGGACCTCACTGGGGGTGTATTGGGATTTAGATGTAAGAAAGGGAGGAATATTTAGATGTACTCCTTGGGGCAACAACTTGTGAATAGTGAACCCTTTGTCTGCTAAGATCATATCACCTGGAGATAACTGTTCTAAGACTTTACAATGTTCTACAATTGCAACATCAGATGTGCTGCCAGGGTACAATTTACTAATAAATACCAAAGCACCATTAGGTGCAACACCTGTAACACTTTTAACAGTGTGAGAATTTTTGTATCCGCTGTATGTGCTGGCCTGCAATCTCATATCATTCCCTGGAACATCCTGGGTGATTTCTGTTGCATCAAGTACTATTCTACATGAACTAAAATCCCCAAAACTTGTAGGCATAGACCCCTTGCACTTCTGGAGAGAAGGAATGCGACTCTCTACGAGTCCTTCATATAATATTTCATGCAAAGCACAAATCTGCGAAGTTACAATGTTATTGACAGATGACGGACTCGTGTTAATCCTCTCAGCAAGGTCCAAAAATGGGGTGTTCATTGTCAGTTTCATTAAAGTCATCAACAATTGGTCAGTCAATGTAATGAAAGATGGTGTCCATCCATCAATATACTTTATCTTGAACCTCTGCATCATTTCATCAATGGCAAGAAACATGTCAGGACGTAGACTTGTGTACATCAGCATCTATATTAAAACATGACATTAAAAACAGTGTCGAGAATATTTTTTATTTCATTATTCAAATTTATTTGCCCATAAAAATACTGCCCAGCAGTATTTCAATTAAATAATTTTACAAGATATTTTCCTGACATTGCATGTTCTAGCACTTATCCAGTCATTTATCACCGGCTGATGAACTGTCCAGCAGTTGGCCCATCATCACAATAAACATGTCAACTGAAATGAAAATACTTAACCACAAAGTATCGTGTTCAAAGATATGCATGAGCATAGCTTATTTTTATGACAGGAGATTATCAACTATAAATTTAAACATTTTAAAAAGCTTTTTATAGCTGAAATTTTATTTAATGTCTATTTTGAATGATTACAAAATGAAACTTATTTATCTTATATATGCTGTTTACAGTATAAACACTAAAATAAACTTGTAATATAGATGTAGTGTTTGATATATTTACACTACCTATTTTCCAAAGCGTACCTTTCTCTCATCATTCAAGATATCACCAATCCTGAAAGCACGCTTTGTTGACATCATCCTGACCTGTATTCTTAGTTCTTCAACTTCACGCCGCAAATTCTGGGGAATACATGTAAAATGTACCTATACATACGGAAGCCCATTTAGGACCTATCAAAAAATATTTTTGAATTCGTTATAACGATTTTTTAGAATTCGTTATAACGAATTAAATTTGTTATAACAGATTTATTGAATTCGTTATAACGAATTTAATTTATTTTAACAGATTTATTAAATTCGTAATAACGAATTTAATTTGTTATAACAGATTCATTGAATTCGTTATAACGAATTTAATCTGTTATTACAGATTTGTTGAATTCGTTATAACGAATTTAATCTGTTATTACAGATTTGTTGAATTCGTTATAACCAAATTCGTTGAATTCGTTATAACGAATTCAATAAATCTGTAATAAGAAATTAAATTCGTTATAACGAATTCAATGAATCTGTGATAACAAATTTAATTCGTTATAACGTATTTTAAAAGGCTGTAATAACAAATTGAATTCGTTATAACGAATTCTAAAAGGCTGTTAAAACAAATTAAATTCGTTATAACGAATTCTAAAAATTTGTTATAACAAATTAAATTCGTTATAACGAATTCTAAAAATCGTTATAACGAATTCAAAAATATTTTTGATAGGTCCTAAATGGGCTTCCGTATATACATGTACCGGCATCAAAATCAGAATTAAAACATCATGTACTAGGCAAAATGGAAAAGACACAAAGTTTTAATCTATCCTGTAAGACAACATTTTGTATTAATAAGGTTAATCTATTGCTTCTAACAAACTACATGCAATATGTCACAGATTTTTGTGTATGGCTATCCTATTTACCTGATTCTCTTCTTTTAATTGATGATATGAAGCCTGATAGGAGTGGTCTAGAGAAACATGGGATGGTTGACATGACATTGCAGTAGATTCACACTGGTCTTCAGAGACTGCCTTTTCTTTGATCTCTCTTTTTTCAGTTCTCGATAAGCCGAACAAAATACAAAGTAACATTTTATGCATTGAAAACTAAGCTTTAATACACAGGTCCAGCACAATACCCTGATAAAGTTATATAGCTTGATAAAGCTATATAGCTTTATCAAGCTATTTAAAATACCTTGATCAAGGTACTGTATGTAATGAAAATTCAAAAAAATTCTTTAAAAATTAATTACTGAAAGTCGAATTCTGAGTTTTTGTCAGTGTGTCTACTCGTGCATGAAAAACACTCTGGTATCAAAAAGAAAGCATAAAATAACGTCTCCTCACACGACACGTTTTTCTACTGATTTGTTTGTGTTTGAGAACTTTAGATGCATGGGTGAATTTACTGACAAAAACTCAGAACTCGACTTTCATTAATTAATTTTTAAAGAATTTTTTGAATTTTCAGTGCATAAAATACCTTGATCAAGGTATTTTAAATACCTTGATAAAGCTATATAACTTTATCAAGCTATATACCTTTATCGGGGTATTGTGCTGGACCTGATACATGTACATGTTTGTTTATTATATAGCATCAGACAAGCATATTAACGATTCATGTTTTATTACACTATATTAAAGTAATCCTCAGTACTCTGAAGTTTTATCAGTAAACAGAAGATACAGTACCTCTTTAATTTGCTCGGATCTGGAAAGTTGAACATTTTTCCACTATTCAATGGGAAGAGGGTGGGGCCATTACTCTTCTCGCCATCTACAAAGTGACAGCTGCAGATCCTGTCATTCTGGGGGATCATGCTTCTATCCTTACGTCTATTTAATTAATAAACGTTTTAAAAAGTCATATATTGATACACGCTTTGAAATGTAAACAGTATATTTCGATTTTCGTACGAACAAAATGTCAAAGATATGATATATCCCTGCAAAGTATTTCCCATTTCTTCGCCAGTGCGGAGCTGGCTGGGAAGCGAAACATCTTACATGTTTTCCTCAACCCTTGGTGGTTGCAATCAAAAACAAAACATATCGTCATGACCTGTATTCGTCGCTAATATACCGTATTTCGCTTATACAATAGCCTGGTTGTCTCCGGAAGTAGTTTACCGGAAGTAAGACTTTACGAGACTGTGCAGATGGTGGAGACTTTTAACAATGCAGCTTATGCGCATGAATAAATAGTTCTAATATGTGAATGCTATATAAAATTTATAACATTTGTTTTCCATTACATTTTACAATATACATAAAATTCATATACGAAAACAAAATATTTGCTCGGATAAAATGAATTAAAAAGCACATTCAGCATGTTCAGTCATATAATCATCATTTTGGCGGTAAATGCGTATGAATAGCTAAACCTAAAGAAGCGTGGGCGCGAAAGAACCATAGACCTAAAGAACCAAGCAAAGAAGAAGTAAACATGGTAAATATGACTTTCAGTATTTTTAGGCATAATTTACAGCAGAAACCTAAATAAGATCTGACAGAAAATATTTCTTTCAATGCGGGCATGGCATAGCATGGCATATTTTTCCCCGTTGCAATATTCTTCGATGGTCTGACACTGTGAATGAACAGGGTAATTACAATATCATGTACCTGAATGTCAGTATGAGACTTACCTAATTCGATGCTGGTCATACTATAATACGCCTGTCGTCGCTTGTCGTGGTGTTTTTTAAATTATTTTAGATTTTGTTTGATATTTGAAATCAATTGGTAATGTTATACCAAACAATAACTAAACAAAATGCTCAACTTGATATTTTTTTTGGTGTTACAGTTCTCATATGCCAAGAAAATCTGTACCCCTGTCGATTTGTGTTAGGCCTATATTTCTGACATTTCTTTTCTGCTTCATTTTTAGGTCACCTGAATAAACTCAGGTGACCTATTGCTATCTGTTTTCGTCCGTTGTCGTCCGTCGTTCGTCGTGTGTTAACATTTGAACATTTTCAGCTTCTTCTCTGCAACCACTGAACCAATTTCAACCAAATTTGGCACAAAGCATTTATGGGTGAAGGGGAACAAAAATTGTGAATTTCATGATCCCTGCCCCCCTGGGGCCTGAGGGGTGGGGCCAAAACCACTAAAATTAATGCAATCTTTAAAAATCTTCTTTACTCCTGGACATCAAGCAGTCAAACTGTTTGCATGATTGTAATCAGCATTGAGTCCTTTACCAAAATTGTGAAATTCATGGCCCTGGGGTCAGGGGTTCTAGTGCTAGGGCAGGGCTAAATAAGTATATAGTGAAAATGCATTATTTCTTTGGAAATCTTCTTCTCTACTCCTGGGTATTAAATAAACCAACTAAGTACATAGTTATGATGAGCAAGAGTGCCTCTACCAAAATTGTGAATTTTATGGCCCCAGGGTCAGGGGTTCTGGTGTTAGGGCGGGGCTCTATTGATTATATATAGTGAAAATAAACGATTTCTTTAAAAATCTTCTCCTCTGCCCCTGGGCATTGAATATACTAATTAAGTGCATAGTTATGATGAGCATGAGTGCTTCTACCAAAATTGTGAATTTTATGGCCCCAGGGTCAGGGTTTCTGGTGTTAGGGCGGGGCTCTATTGATTATATATAGTGAAAATACATGATTTCTTTGAAAATCTTCTTCTCTGCCCCTGGGTATTAAATATACTAACTAAGTGCATAGATATGATGAGCGAGAGTGCTTTTACCAAAATTGTGAATTTTATGGCCCCAGGGTCAAGGGTTCAGGTGTTGGGGGGGGGGGCTCTATTGATTATATAGTGAAAATACATGAATTCTTTGAAAATCTTCTACTCTGTTCCTAGGTATTAAATAAACCAACTAAGTGCATAGTTATGATGAGCAAGAGTGCCTCAACCAAAATTGTGAATTTTATGGCTCACGAGTTCTGGTGTTAGGGCGGGGCTCTATAGATTATATATAGTAAAAATACATGAAGTCTTTGAAAATCTTCTTCTCTGCTCCTAGGTATTAAATAAACTAACTAAGTGCATAGTTATGATGAGCAAGAGTGCTTTTACCAAAATTGTAAATTTTATGGTCCCAGGGTCAGGGTTTCTGGTGTTAGGGCAGGGCTCAATTGATTATATATTGAAAATACACGAATTCTTTGAAAATCTTCTTCTCTGCTCCTAGGAATTAAATAAACTAAGTACATAGTTATGATGAGCAAGAATGCATCTTTTAAAATTATGAATTTTATGGCCCCAGGGTCAGGGGTTCTGGTGTTTGGGGGGCGGGGCTCAATTGATTATATAATGAAAATACATTAAATCTTTGAAATTTTTTTTCTTTGTCTCTGGGTATAAAGCAGATGAACTACCTTGTAGTTATGATGAGGAAGGGCCCTAATCTTGCAGAATTGTGAATTTCAAAGCCCCAGGGTCAGGGGTGGGGTGGGGGCTCTACTAACTTATATACTGAAAATGAATTTATTGTTTGAAATCTGCTCTTTTGTATTTATAAAACATTTATTTATTTTTTGATATTAAGGGTGCCTTTTTGAAATTTGTGCAATGTGTGGACCTAGGGTCAGGTGTTTATGTCACAGTGTTAGGGGCACTACTGGTTAGTTGGAATACATTTTTGTTCCCCTACCCTGCATATGGGTATTCAGTAACCAAGCTAAGCAACTGCTAAGTGTATTGTTATGATGATCAATGGTGCCTCTTTCAAAATTGTGAATGTCATATAGCATCTGGCTTAAAACATGAATCAAATTCAATAACTGGAAAATTGTTGCATAATGCTCAGGTGACCTATAAGGCCCGTGGGCCTCTTGTATTAAGTTATTGTTATTTGTAACACAAAAAATGTATTTGTACACCAGAGTTAACAGTGACATTGAAAGGAGATAACTCTTGCAAACTTGCCTTCATCAGGGTGTATAAGTATAGCCCAACTCAAGTAGATTCAAGTGATTGATTGCACAAATGGTGTAATTGACATTGGTTGAGATAGACTCTCACCCCATTCCTTGCAATACACACATATGAAATTGGTTTCAGGTCTGCTATGTATTGTAATAAACTTGTATGTAAAAGTCCAACAAATACAATACACTAGTGCTAAGAAAGCCTAGGGCCAGAGTTTTACAGGTTTTTGACATCTTGGGTACTGGGTGTCTCCAGGTAAGTAACACCTGGTTACTTCGATCACTCCCCCTCCTCAGGTAACCATAAAAAAGGTCTTTAAGAAAAAGTGGGCTTGAGGGGAACAAAATGAAAATAAAAAGATCAAAATTGGTTGAGTCAGGACCAAAATAAAAATTTTAAAAAAGGGTAATACCGTCTATAAATGTCTTGAATTGACATTCTTGCTTGTTGAGAACCTGCGATGTGCAATAAACTAGTTCCTACAACTGGTTATGATATTGTAATCAGTAGGACGCTCATAAAAGAGAGCATTTTATAATTAAAATACTGCTTTATTTTGAGAGGGTAACCCAATTAGTCTAAAAAAGCGTAAACTGTTCCAACCCAGTTTATACCATATAAAATGGGTAGCAATTAAATTCATTGCTTATATTTTAATTTTCATTCATTTGATGTTAAAAAAAAAAGATGATTGTTCTAACAAAATGACTTCAATTTGTACAAAATTTGAATGTAACATCAGGCGGATTGATACGTTTTTGACTTAAGTCATTGTGACGTAGGCAACCCATTTTATACGATATAAAATAATTTTTTTATCCAATCAAATTCATCGTTACAACCAGAATTAAATTATTGATAAATAATACAACATGACGTAAAAATACAAGTACATATAGATTTCAGGACATCATAGTTGTGGTATGCTATGATAAATGTTTCTACATTTTTACGAAATGTGTAAATTCTGTGAAAAACAAAATACTGTGAAATCACAATTTTTCATGGGGGTTTAATTTTCGTTGATTTCGAGGTATGACGAGACCCACTAATTCATGTCCACCACAAAATGTAAAATATTATATACATTTAAGTATTCATTAATTTTTGGTCCACAAAATCAAATCCCCAAAAACCAAGTGATTTTCCTCAAACCATGAAAATTTGACTCCCACGAAAATATGTGATTTTACAGTATATACAAAGTAATTTGTTCCATAAATGAACACCAGGATAATGAAAAGAACACGAGTTTGTGTGAAAAAACTTCTTGTATCAGATTAACCTTTCTTTTATAACCAGGAAAAACATACTGAAAGGAAAAAGAAACACATAACTTGATAAGAACATAAAATGGGATAATTCTCTGACTATGTGGCCAAAAATTATGAAAATTGGTAAGATATGTATTTTGGTTACTTTGCACTAAAATCGCAAGTCAAAACTACTCAACTATGAATTGTATGGCATTACGTAGAGGAAATGATAAAAAGTAAAAAAAAAAGTGCATATTAATGATGATAATTTTGTGATATAATATTGTAGTACCATACGATGCATTAGAGTTATATAAACATTGTTTTTGCATATTTGCAGTTGGTATAAACTTCTTGCAATCATGATCAGGTATGGCTGACGGAATCTACTGTGGGTTCAGTAATTGTCTAATTGAAATCAATATTGCATAAGTGAATAAAACGGCAAAAACATGCTGCTGTACAGATTGCTTCAACTTTTCAATCAAAGAAAAGTTTTTTCGGTTGCCAGAAAGTTAACTTAAAATGTTTCCAACCAACCATGACAGTGACGGGGATAGTGTTGTTATGATAATCACCGACTATCGAAAAATCGTCGTTTAAAGGCCCAGATTGGCGACAATCGATTGTAAATATTATCGTCGATAGATCGCTATATTTTTCAAGCCGTATTTCTCAAGTCGAGCAGGTTTAACTTTTATATTCACCAAAGGGACCGATCTCTACCCAGAGTTATCGTTCCACTTATACCTCTGTCAACGTCTAAAAAGTAGTACGGAAGCGGAGGAACATGATTTTTTAAAAAGTATTGTTTAAAATTGTCCACAACAAGATTAAAACTTTAACATTTCTATATATGTGTTAATGCTGCAAGTTGTTTGTCTATAAAAACTAAA